CACTAACCCAGTACAGCGTTTTGTGGCCCGATAGGGAGCTCCACCGAAGCCCCCAGTGGGACCGTCCGCATGCGTCCCGGAGATCTTCCTTGACACACCACTCACCCAGAACAGCCTTCCCCCCACCCAGTGCAGCGCTTCGTGACCCCATCGGGAGTTTCACCGAAGAAGATTTTCACAATTGCGGTGCCCACAACTGCATATGGTTGGGTCCTTCGCCAGGATAATTTTCCTAACCATCCTGTGGTGTTGGGTCCTCGTTCTGAAGAGACGTCGCCCCGCGTTCCTCCTCTCCTCTCCTCTCCTCTCCTCTCCTCGCTCCTCTCCTCTCCCTCCCTCTCCTCTCCCTCTCCTCTCCTCTCCTCCTCCCTCTCCTCCCTCGCCTCGCCTCGCCTCTCGCCTCGCCTCGCCTCTCCTCTCTCCTCTCCTCTCCTCTCCTCTCCTCTCCTCTCCTCTCCTCTCCTCTCCTCTCCTCTCCTCCTCCTCCCCCTCCTCCTCCCACTCTTCCCTCCTCCCCCTCATCCCTGCGTTTCACCCACCCAGTACAGCGCTTCGTAGCCCCATAGGGAACTCCACCGGAGGCCCCAGTGCCACCGTCTACATGCGTCCACCCCACTCAGTACAAAGTTTCGTGGCCCCACAGGGAGCTCCACCGAAGGCCCCAGTGCCACCGTCCACATGCGTCCCCCCCACTCAGTACAGCGTTTCGTGGCCCCATAGGGAGCTCCACCGAAGGCCGCAGTGCCACCGTCCACATGCGTCCCCCCCACTCAGTACAGCGTTTCGTGGCCACATAAAAGCTCCACCGAAGGCCCCAGTGCCACCGTCCACATGCGTCCCCCCCACTCAGTACAGCTTTTCGTAGCCCCATCGGGAGCTCCACCGAAGGCTCCAGTGCTACCGTCCGCCTGCGTCCCCCCACCCAGCACAGCGTTTCGTGGCCCCATCGGGAGCCCCACCGAAGGTCCCAGTGCCACCGTTCGCATGCGCCCCCCCCACTCAGTACAACCTTTCGTGGCCCCATAGGGAGCTCCACCGAAGGCCCCAGTGCCACCGTCCACATGCGCCCCCCCCCAGTCAGTACAGCGTTTCGTGGCCCCATAGGGAGCTCCACCGAAGGCCCCATGCGGTCTCCCCCGCTCAGTACAGCGCTTCGTGGCCCCATAGGGAGCTCCACCGAAGGCCCCAGTGCCGCCGTCCGCATGCGTCCCCCCCCACCCAGTACAGCGCTTCGTGGCGCCATAGGGAGCCCCACCTAAGGCCCCAGTGCTACCGTCCGCATGCGTCCTCCCACCCAGTACAGCGTTTCGTGGCCCCATAGGGAGCCCCACCGAAGGTCCCAGTGCTACCGTCCGCATGCGTCCCCCCACCCAGTACAGCGTTTCGTGGCCCCGTAGGGAACCCCACCGAAGGTTCCAGTGCTACTGTCCGTGTCCCCCCACTCAGTACAGCGTTTCGTGGCCCCATAGGGATCTCCATCGAAGGCCCCATGCGTCCCCCCCCGCTCAGTACAGCGTCTCGTGGCCCCATACGGAGCTCCACCGAACCGTCCACATGCGTCCCCCCATGCAGCCCCATTCAGTACAGCGTTTCGTGGCCCCGCAGGGAGCCCCACCGAAGGCCCCAGTGTCACCGTCCACATGCGTCCCCCCACTCAGTACAGCGTTTCGTGGCCCCATAGGGAGCTCCACCGAAGGCCCCAGTGCCACCGTCCACATGCGTCACTTCCACTCAGTGCAGCGTTTCGAGGCCCCATAGGGGGCCCCACCGAAGGGACCAGTGCTACCGTCCGCATGCGTCCCCCCACCCAGTACAGCGTTTCGTGCCCCCATAGGGGGCCCTACCGAAGGTCCCAGTGCTACCGTCCGCATGCGTCCCCCCACCCAGTACAGCGTGTCGTGGCCCCATAGGGAGCTCCACCGAATGCCCCAGTGCCACCGTCCGCATGCGCCCCCCCCATCCAGTACAGCGTTTCGTGGCCCCATAGGGAGCCCCACCGAAGGTTCCAATGCTACCGTCCGCATGTTTTCCCCCCCACACAGTACAGTGTTTCGTGGCCACATAGGGCCCCACCGAAGGTCCCAGTGCTACCGTCCGCATGCGGCTCCCACGCCCAGTACAGCGTTGCGTGGCCCCGCAGGGAGCCCCGCCGAAGGTCCCAATGCTACCGTTCGCATGCCCCCCACACCCAGTACAGCGTTTCGTGGCCCCTTAGGGAGCCCCACCGAAGGTCCCAGTGCTACCGTCTTCATGCGCTCCCCCTGTACAGCGCTTCCGACAGCCCCACCGAAGCCCCCTGGGACTGTCCGCATGCGTCCCCAAAATCTAATTTGGCATTTGCACCCCACTCAGTATGGCGTTTCGTGGCCCCGCAGAGAGTTCCACCGAAGCCCCCAGTGGGACTGTCCGCATGCGTCCCTGAAGCACAATTTTGGTATTTTCACACCACCCACTACGGCCATTCGTGACGCCGTGGAGAGCTCCACCGAAGCCCCCAGTGGGACCGTCCGCATGCGTCTCGGAAGCCCAATTTGGCATTTTCTCCCACCCAGTGCAACGCTTCGTGGCCCCAGTTCTACCGCCCGCAGGCGTTCCCCCCCACCCAGTGCAGCGCTTCGTGGCCTCAGGTGGAGCTCCACCGAAGCCCCCAGTGGGACCGTCCGCGTGCGTCCTGGAAGCCAAATGTGGCACCCCCCTCATACGTTTCGTGGCCCCATAGGGAGCTCCACCGAAGCCACCAGTGGGACCGCCCGCATGCGTCCCACACACAAGGTTTTTGCATTTTCTCCTTACCCAGTACGGTGTTTCGTGGCCCATAGGGAGTTCGCCCGACGGCCCCAATTCTACCGCCCGCATGCGTTCCCCCCACCCAGTACAGCGCTTCGTGGCCCCATAGGGAGCTCCACCGAAGAAAATATTCACAATTGCGGTACCCACAACTGCACATGGTTGGGTCCGTCGCCAGGATTACTTTTTGACAGGGATGGTGGAGGAGAGGGGCACGTCCCAGGTTGGCCCGCAGTCGGGTGGGGAAGGGGGTGTTTACCAACAAGGAGCAGTGGTAACCCCCCACCCCGAGCAGGGGAACGAAGGAGATTGCCAGACAGAAAACGAAACTCGTTAAATCACTTACGCCCAAAGGGTTCATAAGGCTGGGGGACTTCCGAGCCTTGTGAGAAGACCCGCCCCTTCTCACTTCCTCCCCGGGCTCGCCGCCGACAAGAGCGAACGTCGCCACGGGCTTCGAATCGTCCGATGTTCAACGATCTGTGCTATCGGAGCGCCGCGATCGTTCATGGTTGAGTTCGCGCGATGTTTGAAACCAACGCGCAGGTCGTGACGACACGCGCCTGCCGTCTACGTTCCGTTTGCGTTGTGTAAGATGCCGCTATGGGGTGGCTGCTGGGCTGGAGGGGGGGGGGCCTTGACGCGAGGACAAGCTCCAGTATAGGCTCTTCTCCGACGACGGCGACTTCCTGATGTACGCCAGGGCAAACCTGGACGCAAGGATGCTTAGAGGAGGAAGAAGAGGAGGAGGAGGAGGAGGAGGAGGCGATGGCGGAGGCAGAGGAAGAGGAGGAGGAGGTGGTGGTGGTGGTGGTGGAGGAGGAGGAGGAGGAGGAGGAGGAGGAGGAGGAGGAGGAGGAGGAGGAGTATGATAATATGAGGCGGAGGGGGAGGAAGAGGAGGAGCAACGAGTCTGAATGACAAGGTTAAACGGCCGTCGGCCTTGCTGCCGTGGTTAATCGGTGGTGCCCGTCGCGCTTCTCTTCGTCACTCATGCTTCTTGGCACCTTTTGGTTCTCAGCGTTTCACCGTCGCTGCCGTCTTTGCTTTCCAGCTGTCAGAGGTTCCCTGATTCGCGTTTTACCTTTTCCAGCGTTTTATGCATGCTTATGCTATTTTGTTGTGCTTCGTGGCAGTGTATTTTCCCGACGCCTCTTTCCCTGGATAGGACAGTCGAGTTCTTTACTTACAACCCCAGCGAGAAGGAGGAGAAGCTGTACGACCCATCCAGGTGCCACTGTGAGTATGTATGTGTGATCTGATTTGATCCTCCTCCTCCTCCTCCGCCCCACTGGGCTTGACCCGCTGAAGCCATAGCAATCCAAATATATTGTTGATGTAGTTCTCAGGTGTTGGCGCCATGCCGCCTGTTGCAATCCCGTTTGAAGCTATCAGCCGGTGTGTCATGGGAAGTCTTACGCGTGTGCGAACTTTCAGCAGGTCAGGTCATGGGTGGTGCCAGTCTCCTCATGCAAGTGATCCCAGCAACGCAGTGCTTTGTGCTGTGCGGATCCGACGCAATCTTGCTGGCGTTAAATCTCCTTGGGCACCATGCGCTTCCACAGGTTGGACGGACGATGCCCTAAAAGGATGCGAGGACACAGGTCGGGCCCCACGCCGCACATGTCTTGCACAGGGCGACATGCGTTTTCTCACGTGGGCTTTGCAAGCAGGGCATGCGTCTGCGCTGTGCCGTTTGCTTCGACGTCGATCAAGGTGGCTTCAGATTTGTTTCGGGCTGAGATACTTACGGGGACGAAGGTGAGGAAGAGTAGGGAGGAGAGGATAGAGGAGGGGAAGGCGGAAGAGGAGGAGGAGGAGGAGATGGCGAGGAAGAGCAGGGAGGACGGGGAGGAGGAGGAGGAGGAGGAGGAGGAGGAGGAGGAGGAGGAGGAGGAGGAGGAGGAGGAGGAGGAGGACTTTGACTCTTGGACCTGTGCGTGACGATTTTTTGTTCACTGGGGGGGCCGCGGTTGGCCCAGCTTTAGAATCTAAGCGGCTCCCAAAAGCACCAGCATTTTCGGAAACTCCGACCTTGGCTGAGTGATGCTGCTATGGAGTATCACACATTTTCTTTGTGTTGTTATCCACAAAACAACCGCCAATAGTCAAACAAAACGCGTGATGCTCCGTGTCAGGGCGCTGGGAGGCGCGCGCCAGCTCCGACAGGTGGGACTGCATCTCTGGCACCTCTGCAGGCTCGGCCAGAGCTGCTGTGGGCTCAACTCCAGCTCCGGCTGCCGTCTTCTGCGCAGGATTCCTAACAACTTTGCATACAGGGGCACGAACGGATTCATGCCAGGGTTCTTAGAGCAGACATTTGGCTTGGTGCAAATCTTCTATTGCGATCACGGCTTCGAGGCTTGTGAAGCTGCGGAAGGCGGGTGACGAAACCTGGGACTTCACACGAAGGCTTCGATATCGTTGTCTTCGATCCTCGCCTTTCCGTTGTCAAACTCAATGAGAGGCTGGGGCATCACTGCCTGGAGCTTTTCTCCTGGAGCTCGCTGTCCCTGTCCTTGTCACCGTCCTTGGCCTGCCACTCATCGGAAGTCGGTGCCTTCTCGTCTTCGAGTTTCTTGCGCTTTAACATTTTCTGAGTGTTATCATTCACCAGGATCGGGGACTTATGCTTGTTCTTATTCTTGTCGACTGATATCTGGTCATCGACGGGCACATTTGGATTGTCCTTCATGATTAACCAGTTGACCTCATCCTGCTCCAACTGGCTGTCAAGGCCGTCGACGGTCTTCCAGCTGGAGTCGTATCTGCAAGCGGGCTTGACCTTATTGTGGTCGATTCTCATGCTGGATTCGGATGAAGTTCGCCACTGGCCTTCGACATTGTGATTGCTTGTTTTGTTGATATAGTTAGGGCGGGCGCCTCTGGGGAGTCGGGGGAATGACACATTATCTACGAGAGCCCCTTCGGGGTCCTGCATGGGCTCCTTCGGAACATGTTGTGCCCGAGGACATGATTCCTTAGAAACCCGTCAGATTCTGCGGTACCCAGCGTTCCAGCAACTTTCCCAGGGTGTCAGAGGATTCCTCAGGATCTCCGGGGACACCTCAGCGTTCCTTCGGATCCTTCATGATTCCAGCGAATGTTTCTGGATTCGCGAGGGTTCTCCCGGATTCCAGAGGGCTCCTCAGGATTCCGCAGGCTTCTGTTGGGTTTCTGAGGTGCCGCAGGGTTCCAGCGAATTCCTCAGGTTCTCAACGGGTTTTACAGTATTCCCAAGGATTTCAATAGATTCTTCAGGATTCCTGAGGATTCCCACGGATTCCAGAGGGATTCAGTGGGTCCCGCAGGACTCCACAGGATTTCTTAAGATTTCTCAGCATTCTTTTGGAGTCCTCAGGATCCCATAGGATGCCTCAGGATTCCAAAGAAGTTCTGTTAGGGAATTGACTTGGGTCTGTGGCGCTGCATTGAACACTGGCACACAGAACGATTCAAATTTCATACCCTCGGATTCTAGATATTGAAACTCAGCATTTGCATTCTCACTGCCAGAATTGCGCTTGGAACATTGAGTATTCTCAATCCTGGGGTCACGGATTGAAGCTTGAATCAAGCATTGAAGCAGTGTGGTGTTTTGGGCCTTGTTGAGTCTGGTCGTCGGGCGGGCGGAGCATTAACGTGCGGATTTGTATCCAGTGTAATCGGAGCTGGGCCAACGGGCGGGGCGGGTCGGGCGGGCGGGACATTCACGTGTGGATTTCCATCGAGCGTGGTTGACGGAACGGGTCCCACGGGCGGGGCGCGCCGGGCGGGCAGGGGAAGAACGTGTGGATCATCATCGGGCGTGGTCGGGCGGAGCGGGTCCCACGGGCGGGGCGGGTCGGGCGGGTCAGGGCATTCAAGTGCAAGGATCTGTGGGGACTGGCCGAGCGAGGCGTGGCACGCGGGCCCGGCGGGTGAGCCGGGCGGGATCTGAAAGTGTGGGCTCTCTCTTCCGTGCGGTCGAACGAAGCGGGTCAGTTGGCTCTAGTCGATGGGGCTCGGGCGAAGGCACGGGGTGTCTGGCGGACAGAACATTACATGCTGGGCCGTGTCGCGTTTGTTTGGGTGGGCCAGGTCGGGCGGGTCGGGCAGGCGGGACGTGAAAGTGTAGGACCCTGTCGAGTGTGGTCGGGTGGACCCTACGCGAACCGGCAGGCGGGCGAGACATCATAGCGTAAGGCTCTACCGTGTCTCGTCGAGCGAGGCGGGGCGAGAGGGCGAAGCGGGTCAGGCGGGCGGGACTCTGTAGTGTGGGCCTTATCGCGTCTTGTCTGGCGGCGGGGGCGAGCAGCGGGTCGGGTCGGGCAGGGCAGGTGGAACATTCGAGTGTAGGGCTGGGCTGTGTTGAGTCTGGTCGAGTGGAGCAGGGTGGACGGGCAGGGCGGATCAGGCGAGCGGGATCTCGAGTGTGGGGCTTCATCGAGTCTGGTCAAGTGGTCAAGTAGGGCAGAGCGAACTGGTGGGAGGGGCCATCGAGTCTGGTCGGGTGTGCCGGTGCGAACGGCCAGGGCGGGTTAGGTGGGCGACGCATGAACGTGCGGTACCCTGCAAAGTTCCTGCGAGAGCTTGGGACTCGCGGCTTTCCCGAAGGTCTTGGACTTCCCCATTTTTTATTTGAATGTTTCAATCTGGGACGTACCAGATTGTACATTTTTGTCCCAACCATCCTGTGGTGTTGGGTCTTCGTTTTGAAGAGACGGTCCCCGCGCACACCCAATTTGGCATTTTCACCCACCCAGTACAGCGTTTCGTGGCCCCATGGGGAGCTCCACCGAAGCCCACAGTGGGACCGCCCGCATGCGTCCTCCACACCCAAGTTGGCACACCTCTCACACGTTTCGTGGCCCCATAGGGAGCACCACCGAAGCCCCCAGTGGGACCGCCCGCATGCGTCCCCCACACCCAATTTGGCATTTTCACCCACGCATTACAGCGTTTCGTGGCCCCATAGGGAGCTCCACCGAAACCCCCGTCCCCCGCACCCGATTTGGCATTTACGCCCGCCCAATACAGCGTTTCGTGGCCCCATAGGGAGTTCCACCGAACCCTCCAGTGGGACCGCCCGCATGCGTCCCCCACACCCAACTTGGCATTTTCACCCACCCACTACAGCGTTTCGTGGCCCCATAGGGAGCACCACCGAAGCCCCCAGTGGGACCGCCCGCATGCGTCCCCCACGCTCAATTTGGCATTTTCACCCACCAAGTACAACGTTTCGTGGCCCAATAGGGAGCCCCACAGAAGCTTCCAGTGGGACAGCCCTCATCCGTCCCCCACACCCAATTTGGCATTTTCGCCCACCGGGTACAGCGTTTCGTGGCCCCATAGGGAGCTCCATCGAAGCCCCCAGTGGGACCGCCCGCATGCGTCCCCCACGCTCAATTTGGCATTTTCACCCACCCAGTACAGCGTTTCGTGGCCCCATAGGGAACCCCACCGAACCCCCCAGTGGGACCGCCCGCGTGCGTCCCCCACGCCCAATTTGGCATTCCCCCCCCAGTACAGCGCTTCGTGGCCCCATAGGGAGCTCCACCGAAGCCCCCAGTAGTACCGCCCACATGCGTCCCCCGCACCCGATTTGGCATTTTCGCGAACCCAGTATAGCGTTTCGTGGCCTCATAGGGAGTTCCACCGAAGCCCCCAGTCGTACCGCCCGCATGCGTCCCCCACATCCAATTTGGCATTTCCACCCACCCAGTACAGCGTTTCGTGGCCCCATAGGGAGCACCACCGAAGCCCCCAGTGGGACCGCCCGCATGCGTCGCCCACACCAAATTTGGCATTTTCACTGACCCAGTACACCGTTTCGTGGCCCCATAGGGAGCTCCACCGAAGCCCCCAGTGGGGCCGCCCGCATGCGTCCCCCACACCCAATTTGGTATTTTCACACACCCAATACAGCGTTTCGCAGCCCCATGGGGAGCTCCACCGAAACCCCCAATGGGACCGCCCGCATGCGTCCCACGCGCCTAATTTGGTATTTTCACACACCCAATGCAGCGTTTCGTGGCTTCATAGGGAGCTTCACCGACGGCCCCAGTGCCACCGCCCGCATGCGTTCCCCCCCTGCCCAGCGCAGTGCTTCGTGGTCCCATAGGGAGCTTCACCGAAGAACATATTCACAATTGCGGTACCCACAACTTCATATGGTTGGGTCCTTCGCCAGGATGATTTTTTGCCATTGTTCAGTTTTGGAAGTGACATTTTATTGGTATCCACATCAGTCCCGCGGTTCCAGAGTGTTCCCTCAGATTCTGGTGGTTCTTCAGGATTCCAGAGGATTCCAGAGCATTCTTCAGGATCCCCACGACTCCTTCTGAGCATTCGTTTGAACTCCTGAGGATCGCGGAGGATTGCCAGAGGATTTCCAGAGGAGTGCGGCGCACCGGTGCATGTGCACACTTCGAAATCGTCGGATGGTGTCATCTTCCCCCACTGCACCGGGTGCGCCAGTCGGGCCTCGCCTGCGGAGAGTACGAGGCAGGCGCCCCCAGACTGGGTACGGGCCGCTGCCGTCCTGGTATCGATCGAGATGCCATCATCGGCGCTGATTTTGGGGTTGTCCTTCAAGCTGTGATCGCTCGGGTTGCTGGGCTTGCCCTTGCTGAAGTCGATGGACCCGCTGGAATCGATCCGGCTCTTTTTGACATGAGGCCGTGGTTGGCCTGATACGTTGCTGGTCTGCAAGTTGGAGTCGCTTGTTATGCTAGACTCTATCTTCTTCTTTTTCTTGTTCTGCATGTCGGCAGCGTGGGTGGTCTCGTTCTCTTCCAAATGGCTGTCCAAGACTCGGCTGGTATTGTCAGCATGGGAGTGAGAGCCGCGATCTCCGACAAGTTGCTGGGAGATGGTCTGCACTACGCCCACGGACATCTGCGTCTTGGATGCGACGTTGCCAATGGAGTTCGTGAACTCATCGAGGTTGGTGTCGCCGTCGTCCAAGATGCTGATCATGACTTCCTGCTTCTAGGACTACACCTTGCTGTCGGCATCGTTGCCGCGGGCAACTACAATGTGGAGAAATTCAGAGACGCCCACGGAAGAGTTGATCTCTACGTCGGCTCAATTCGCGAACCGCAGCACAATCAGTGGTTTATGCTGGGACTCATCGTCAGTCTCGTATGTGATGTCTTATTTTTGGAGCTCGGGGCCAGCTGTGCGTTGCCACGGACGGATGGCCCTGGGGTGGGGGAGGACGGGGGATGGGCTCCCGTTTCGTTTCCTCCCGTCATTCCCCAGGCGGGCGCGCTGAGGGGGGCCTGCCTGCGCACGCTACCTTGGGCCAAAATGGTTTGAGCGAATATGTTTAAGGGTAGGAGGAAGAGTATGAAGAGGAGTCTGGAGAGGAGTCGGGGTAGCGGCGGTCGGGTAATGGGTTTTGATAGTGCTCAAGTTGTGTCCATGATTCCAATTTGCTTCAACTGTAACTTCCTACTGGCGTCGCTGTTGTGCGTTCTCTGCTTCGTTTTCCACAGCCATGCCTATGAGTATTCTCTTGCGTCGTCGACAGAAATAGTTATCGTAGTCGGTGCCGCTGCCCAATATCGGTACTCCCTCCTTCCTCTACCGTCGTTCATGACCCTCTCTTCTCTCGTTCCTCAACGATTTTCACTTCTCCGATTCTCTCGAGTCCGTCTTTGCGGCCGTCGTCGTCCTCGCCGCTTCTGTCAACATGATCGCTGCCGCCGTGCTTGCCTTTTTATTCTCTGCCTCTTTAGCTGCTTCATCATCGCTTTGGGGTCAGGGAATCCTGACAAGACCAACAATGAATGAGTTCCCTGGGGGGTGTTAGGGATTTCTTCTGAGGAAAGGGTACCGCAAGCCTAGATCGCCTCCTCCTCCTTGATCTGGTCAGCGTGTCCCTTCTCTTGAATCTCTGCAGTTTTGTGCGTCCCGCGGTCGTCTGCTTCCCCCCTGTGCCGACAAGATGGCCAGGCCTGCGTTTCAGATGACGTACACCAAGGACAGGTCGGAGTGGCGCATCACTCAGGAGCGGCAGCCCTGCCGACCTAACGCGATCCCGCTGGGTCGGGTCGACCTCATGTCAAGGTTCGAGGTGCAGTTTCGCAGAAGCCTCTGCAGACCGCCCGCCTCTCTGGCGCTGGATTTCGAAATGTCGTAGGTCGTAGCCATGTGCTCGCACCCAGCCGAAGAGGCGGAGGAGGATGAGGCGGAGGAGGAGGAGGCGGAGGAGGAGGAGGAGGAGGAGGAGGAGGAGGAGGAGGAGGAGGAGGAGGAGGAGGAGGAGGAGGAGGAGGAAGGGGGGAGAAGGAGGAGGACCGCGGCTTCGCTGGGCGGCAAGTAGGAATGCGCGCTCTCCCCCCGGGGGTTGAAAGAGGTGTGACCGGCCCACGGTGTCCCCAGCCTTCTCGTTACCTTCTGGAGCCCATGGGGCACTCTGGGCTTCTTGAGCGGGTGCTCGGGAGGCCTTCTGGGGCGTCCCGGAGAACCTTGGTCAGGGACACCTCTGCCACCACCCGACCCCCCTGAGGACAACGCCCGCCGTCTCGCCGCCGTCTCGTTCTCATCGTCCTCACGGCAAGTTGTCGTCGCAGTCGTCGTCGTCGCCTGCCCTCTGCCCAGGAGAGGCGCCCTGTTGTAACTCGTTATTCCCAACCATCCTGTGGTGTTGGGTCTTCGTTTTGAAGAGACGGTCCCCGCGTTCCTCTGCTCTTCTCCTCCTCCTCCCCCTCCTCCCCTCCGCCCTCCTTTTTCCATGCGTTTCACCCACCCAGTACAGCGTTTCGTGGCCCCATAGGGAGCTCCACCGAAACCCCCAGTGGGACCGCCCGCATGCGCCACCCACACCTAATTTGGCTTTGTCAACCCACCCAGTGCAGCGTTTCGTGGCCCCATAGGAGCTCCACCGAAGCCCCCAGTGGGACCGCCCGCATGCGTCCCCCACGCCCAATTTGGCATTTCCACCCACCCAGTACAGCGCTTCGTGACCCCATAAAAGGGGGCTCCACCGAAGCCCCCAGTGGGACCGCCCGCATGCGTCCCCCACGCCCAATTTGGCATTTTCAAACAACCAGTACAGCGCTCCGTGACCCCATAGGGAGCCCCACCGAAACCCCCAGTGGGACCGCCCGCCCGCATGCGTCCCCCACACCCAATTTGGTATTTTCACCAACCCAGCACAGCGTTTCGTGGCCCCATAAGGAGCCCCACCGAAGCCCCCACTGGGACCGCCCGCGTGCGTCCCCCACACCCAATTTGGTATTTTCACCCACCCAGTACAGCGTTTCGTGGCCCCGTAGGGACGAAGCCCCCAGTGGGGCCGCCCGCATGCGTCCCCCCCACGCCCAATTTGGCATTTTCGCAGACCCAGTACAGCGCTTCGTGACCCCATAGGGAGCCCCACCGAAGCCCCCAGTGGGGCCGCCCGCATGCGTCCTCCACGCTCAAATTTGGCATCTTCACCCACCCAATACAGCGTTTCGTGGCCCCAAAAGGAGCTCCACCGAAGCCCCCAGTGGGACCGCCCGCGTGCGTCCCCACGCCCAACTTGGTATTGCCACCCACCTAGCACAGCGTTTCGTGGCCCCATGGGGAGCTCCACCGAACCCCACAGTGGGACTGCCCGCACGAGTCACCCACACTCACTTTTGCATTTTCAGACACCCACTACAGCGTTTCGTGGCCCCTATGGAGCTCCACCGAAGCCCCCAATGGGACTGCCCGCGTGCGTCCCCCACGCCCAATTTGGCATTTCCACCCACCCAGTACAGCGCTTCGTGACCCCATACGGAACTTCACCGAAGCCCCCAGTGGGACCGCCCGCATGCGTCCCCCACGCCCACGTTGGCATTTTCGCACGCCCAGCACTGCGTTTCGTGGCCCAATAGGGAGCTCCACCGAAACCCGCAGTGGGACCGCCCGCATGCGCCCCCCACATCTAATGTGGCATTGTCACCCACCCAATACAACGCTTCGTGTCCCCATAGGGAACCCCACCGAACCCCCCAGTGGGACCGTCTGCATGCATCCCCCACACCCGATTTGGCATTGGCACCCACCCAGTACATCGCTCCGTGGCATCATAGGGAACTCCACCGAACCCCACAGTGGGACCGCCCGCATGAGTCCACCATGCCCTCATTTGGCATGTGCACCCGCCCAGTACAGCGCTTCGTGGCCTCGTAGGGTAGGGAGCTCCACCGAAGAACCCAGTGGGACCGCCCGCATGCGTCCCCCACGCCCAATTTGGCATTTTTACCGACCCAGTACAGCGCTTCGTGACCCCATAGGGAGCCCCACCGAAACCCCCCAGTGGGGCCGCCCGCATGCGTCCTCCACGCTCAAATTTGGCATGTTCACCCGCCCCTTACAACGCTTCGCGGCCTTATAGGGAGCTCCACCGAAGCCCCCAATGGGACCGCCCGCATGCGCCCCACACGCCTAATTTGGTATTTTCACACACGCACCCAGTGCAGCGCTTCGTGGCTTCATAGGTAGCTTCACCGACTGCCCCAGTGCTACCGCCCGCATGCGCCCCCCCCGCCCAGCGCAGCGCTTCGTGGCCCCATAGGGAGCCCCACCGAAGAAAGTACTCACAATTGCGACACCCACAACTTCGTATGGTTGGGTCTTTCGCCAGGATAATGTTTCCCCCCTCTATGTTTATGCTGCTATGTGTGCGTGCGTGCGTGCGTGCGTGCGTGAGTGCGTGCGTGCGTGCGTGCGTGCGTGCGTGTGTGTGTGTGTGTGTGTGTGTGTGTGTGTGTGTGTGTGTGTGTGTGTGTGTGTGTGTGTGTCTGTCTCTCTCTCTCTGTCTCTCTACCGCGTTAGCCTTGGGTTCTTCTGTGCGCGTTGGATGAATGTATATTGCCTTGAAGTGTCGTAGTGTCGCAGGAATAGGGGGGGGGGGAATTGGGAGAGCGGGCGTGATGACGATGAGTATGATAGTGAAGGTGGTCATAGTGGTGATGGTGGTGATGGTGCTTGGGATGTGTACGATGGCCATGCTGCTTGGAATGACGATGATGGCATTGTTGTTGTTGATGATGTTGTTCTTGTTGTTGCTGTTCTTCTGGTTGTTGTTGTTGTTGGTGTTGCTGTTGTTGTTGTTGTTGTTGTTGTTGTTGTTGTTGTTGTTGTTGAATATGGCCATTGTGAGGAGGAAGGATCGGTGAACGGCACGGTGACGATGTCCAGTGCTATGGCGACGACGATATTGCTGCTGATGATGCTTACATGATGATGAGGATGATGACTATGGTGGTGGTGGTGTCATTATTATTGTTTTTTTTTGTTGTTGTGGTTGTTGTTGTGGTTGTTTTGTTTTGATGATGATGATGATGATGATGATGATGCTGTTGATGCTGTTGTTGCGGTTGTTGATGTTGCTGATGTTGTGGTCGTTGCTGTTTTTTTGTTGATGGTGATGCTGATGATGATGCGGGTGATGATGATGCTGAGGTTGGTGATGCTGTTGATCATGCTGCTGACTCTGCTGTATGATGATGGCTGTGATGATGGTAATGCTGATGACGATGGCTGTGGTGGTGACGAGGGTGGCCCCACACACTGTCAATCAGCTTTCTCCCCGCAGCAGTGACAGCCAACGCCCTCCAGACTGTCCCCACCCTGGTGCCGCAGGAGCGCTGCGAGCACTGCCGCTTCGCGCCCAAACACCTCTCCTGCACGTGCAAGGGCAAGCAACAGGCCCCTCCCTGTTCCCTCCCCCCTTCCCCCCTTCCCTCCTCTCTTCCCTCCTCTCTTCCCTGCTCCCTTCCCTCCGTGCTTCCCTCCTCCCTCGTCCAACCTCCTCCATCGTCCTCCCTCCTCCTCCCTCGTCCTCCCTCTTCCTCCCTCGTCCTCATTCCCACCCTGCCTTGTCAGGCATAAGCATGGGCTTTCGGAGACCCGCGCTGTCTTGTCAGACATAAACATGGACTTTCGGAGACCCCCGCGGATCTCTCGTGTCGGTGCTGGGCCTTCCTGGTTGCGTCTCCGTCGCCGCCACAGGCGCGCTTCGTGCGGCAGGGGAAGAGGGTCCAATGCCGATCCAATATCTCCGCGCGGACCCCCAAACGTTTTTTGGCGTGATGTTGTTGTTGTCCTCGTCGTTGTCGACGTCGTGGTTGTTGTTGTTGTTGTTGTTGTTGTTGTTGTTGTTGGTGTCGTTCATGTTCTTGCTGTTGTTGTTGTTGTTGTTGTTGTTGTTGTGGTTGTTGTTGTTGTTGATGGTGTGGTTGTTGTTGTTGTTGTTGTTGTTGTTGTTGTTGTTGTTGTTGTTGTTATTGTTGTGGTTGTGGCTGTCGTTGTCTTCGTCGTGGTG